TTATTATTATTATTATTATTATTATTATTATTATTATTATTATTATTATTATTATTATTTATTGTTATTATCTGATGCTAAGGAGTTCTGCTCCCCCACCCCACCTGAAAAATAATCTCTTCCAAATGCAAAACACAAGCACAGGAGTTTCAGTTTCACAGCAGCACCAAGCAGCCTTAGTCCAGAACAGTTGAGCTAAGCCACGCCCAGGCTCCTTGCTGTCTCCTTGCTCCCACAGCAAATACTCTTGCAGTTTCCAAACAGCCCTCCACTCTCTCACATACTGACAGCACGCTAGCCAGATGAATACCGATGGATGCTGGTAGGCAGAGGCAGCATTTTCCCTCCATTATTTTCCTCCCCAAAAACTAAGCCCGACCACGTAGTTTCATAAGCAAAGCCTGGGTAGCAAGCTAGTCTGTGATATAAAAATCTGTTTCTTCTCGCTTTCCTTCTTAAATAGTTAGAGAAAAAAAAAAAAAAGCAAAATTGCTGGGCCTTTTTGAGCTCTTCCTTAGAGAATTTGTGAGTTCATTTTTGCTTCCCATCAGAATATGCTTCAAACAGAACAGGAGCAGAAAGAAAAAACAGAACAGGAGCAGAAAGAAGGAAACGAGCTTTGGGGATGTTATAAAACATGGTTTTCATTAGTTTCACCTTTTCCTCTCTGGAACATTTTGCTAGACTGGAGCATTTTTCACCGGCCCAGGTGGTTGCATTCCCATGTGCTCAGCAGTGGGGAGGGAGGAATTATCCGATCAGGCTCCAGGCTTCAAGCTTTCACTGGGTACCAAATAGTAGGGAATATTTGTAGCTCATGGGGGGTGAATTATGGGGTCCTTGGTGCTCTCTGAGCTTGGTGGATTTTTTTGCAGATGTTTCACAACCCAAGTAGGGAACATCATCAGGGCTAGCAGGGAGTGGGGTTGGAGGAGGAGGGGGGAGAGGAGGAGAGAGGAGGAGGAGGAAGAGGAGGAGAGGAAAAGGAGAGAGGAGGAGGAGAGAGGAGGAGGAGGGGAAGAAGAAGAGGAAGAAGAAGACAAGGACTTGGTGCTCTCTAAGGTCCATGGTTTTCTTGCAGACGTTTCACAACCCAACTAGGGAACATTATCAGGGCTAGCAGGGAGTGGGGTTGGAGGAGGAGGAGGAGTGGGAGAGGAGGAAGAGGAGGAGAGAGGAGGAGGATGGGAAGAAGAAGAGGAAGAAGAAGACAAGGACTGTGGGGTCCTTGGTGCTCTCTAAGGTCCATGGTTTTCTTGCAGATGTTTCACAACCCAGCTAGGGAACATCATCAGGGCTAGAAGGGAGGGAGGATTTCCCTTCTCCTTTCCACCAACCCCTCTTCCTTCCAGAAAGTTTAATGAGCATTCAAAGTTATGACAGCACTCAAAGAAAGCACTTATGACCATTTTTCACACTTCATATCCATGGTCAGATGATCAGAATTCAAACACTTGGCAATTGACTCATGACGGTTGCAGTGTCCCGGGGTGGGGGTGGGGAATCACATGATCCCCTTTTGCGACTGAATGACAAGCCAAGTCAACAGGGGAAGCCAGATTCGCTTAACAACCATGTGACTCACTGAACAACTGCAGCGATTCACTTAACAATGGTGATCAGGAAGGTTGTAAGATGGGGCAGAATTCACTTGGCAACTGTCTCACTTAGCAACAGAAATTCTGGGCTCCCTTGTGGCCGTATGTTGAGGACTTCCTGCATGCAAAAACTTCTTTGAATGAATGAATGAATTCCTTATTGGCCAAATGCAATTGGACACCCAAGGAATTGGTCTTGTCGATCAGTGGCTGAACTTTACGTGGCCATAGGTTCAAAGCAACCTTCCGCTACTTAATGGTTCAAGACAGGTGACGTGCCTGTGGCTTGGGAAGGCTAATGGGGAGAATAACAAGGGCTGGAAGGGACCCCGGAGGTCTTCTAGTCCAACCCCTTGCTTGAGCAGGAAACTGGAGACACCACTTCAGACAAATGGCTCTCCGGTCTCTTCTTATAAACCTCCAGTGATGGGAGAGACCCACAACGTCTGAAGGCAACCCATTCCACGGGTTAATTGTTCTCCCTGTCAGGAAATTCCTCCTTCATTCTAGGTTGCTTCTGGATGGGTTTCCATCCATTGCTACTTCTCCTGGTGCTTTGGAGAACAGTGGCCAAGTGTGGTTGGACACACAAGGAACTTGCACCAAGACAAATTCCTTGTGTGTCCAACCACACTTGGCCAATAAAGAATTCTATTCTATTCTACTCTACTCTATTCTACTCTAACAGGTTGACCCCTCCCCACTCTTCTCTGGGGCAGCCCCTCAAATATTGGAAGACTTGGTGTGATGACCCAAAGGGGCGTGGCACAAAGGCCACGCAGTCAGACAATCCATAGGAGTCCCTTTATTAGCTCCGACTTTGCCCCCAATGTCCTGGTTACCTTCTGGGCTGGAGAAAAAAAAACTCTCCCAGGAACAGCCTTGGGCTGCAGAGACTCAAGTCCAAAACATGGTCAACACAAACTGTAACTATAAGTCTAATCCAGGCAAAATGAGGTCATTTAGTCTGGCAGGGCAGGAGAAGGAATTGCAGATGTGAAGGAACGGCAGTAATTCAACGCGGGTGGGAAGACGCCAGGAACACAGATAACCAAAGTCAACACATGATAAACCATGTTTGCTCCCAGAAAACACCACTCTCAGCTTGCATCTCTTTTAAACTCCCTTCCCAGCTGTGGCTAATGAAGGGACTCAGGGCCCTTTCCTCCCCCCGTAAGCCATGCAACCCATGTTGCTCCCTTCTCCGTTCCTCCCTGTGTGCCCTAGGATGAAGAGGGGGGCTGAGTCTTCCTCTGAACTCCCTCTCCCTTGTTCTACCCCTCCCCTGCTCTGCCCAGCTGGACTTTGCCCTTCCCCAGTTTCCTCCCCAGCCAACGGAGCCACACCCCCACCCCGTGTCAGCTGTCCATCTTCCTCCTCGGATTCAGACTCCGACAGGGGCATGACACTTGCTATCATGGTTTGGGCTGCCCTTCTCTTAACCCCTTTGTCTTTCCCTCTCCTGCTTAGACATCACCGAGGCCATCTTTGACTTCATCCAGAAGAGCCGGAAGATGATTGTGGTCCTGAGCCCCGAATACCTTCTGGAGAAGAGCATCAGCCTTCTGGAGTTCAAGCTGGGCCTCCTCTGCCAGAACAACATTGCCACCAAGCTGGTGGTGGTGGAGTACCAGCCTCTGCCCCGCGCCCACCCGAGCGTCCAGCAGCTGAAGGAATCCGTGGCCTTCGTGGTCTGGAAAGGGGAGAAGTCCAAGCACCTGGGGTCCAAGTTCTGGAAAGCCTTACGCCTGGCCTTGCCCCTCCAGAGCCTCGGCACCTGTGGCCACGCCGTCTGGAACGAAAGCAGCTCCTCGCATTCGGACACCAGCTTGGACCAAGCTCAGAAGAAGAGGACCAGGTTGAAAGGCCCACCGCCCAAATCCAAGGCCGTCCCTGTCCGAAGAGGGCCGGCCACCTTGCCCCGAAGGAAGACCAAGCCACAGCCACCCAAGCCGTTCCTGGCCTGCCGCTGTTGCGTGGCCTCCTCCAACGAGAAGCGCCAAGCCAAGAGCCCCGGCCAAGCCGCGGCCAAGCCCAAGCAAGAGATGCCATGCCAGAGGCCGCTCCTGGGAGACGCCGTGGTGGGCCACCTCCAGAAGAACGGGAAGAAGCACCCTTTGGAGTCCCAGGGGGCAGCTCTGGGCCTCCAGCAGTTTGCAGATGTGTCCAATAACAATGACTTCTACGTCCTTTAACCACCGATGGTGGCATCCGCTGGAAACACAGCAGCTCTGAGGAGGAAGGAGGGAAGGCTGGCCTCCATTGAGGACCTCTTGGAAGCCATGGGACCAGTCAACCAGAGGATGTGGGGGGGTGGGGGTTGCCTATGGAGGGACCTGGTGCTTGGGGACTGCCCTCCCTCCTCCAAGGGTCTCCTTACCTGGGCCAAGGTGGAGATTTGAACCCTCTCCAAAGCCAAGTCCAAGAGCGGGCCATGAAACAGAAGCTGGGCAGATAACGTCCACCCTAACAGGTCCCATCATGGAGACTTGTAGAAGGCATGGCTCTTCCCTCTTTTAGAGGTCAGCATTTGACCCCCTCCCCGCCTTCATTCCAGCCATCTTAGGACAGGATGTTTGGGTACGCCGGTTGGGAATGCTGGATCTCGTAGTCCCACCAGAAAGTGGGATGGGGAATGAGGGGAGAAGGTCAGGTGGGCTCATCTGACCTTTGGCTTTAGGTTCAGAACCGCAGAGGGGGCTCAGCAATCAGTCAACCGATCGATCAATCCGAATAGAGCTGGAAGGGACCTCGGAGGTCTTCTAGTCCAACCCCTGGTCAAGCAGGAGACCCTAGACCATTTCGGAGAGGTGGGCTGTCCAAGAAGAATTTAAAACCAGCAACAGCCGCCCACCCACTCACACCCACCCAAATTATTCAGGAAGGTTTCAGGGGAAAATCTCAGATGAACGAACACATCCATGGTTTTGTTTTGTTTTTTAATTTAATTGTTGATTTAATTTACCAAGGCCGTTTTCCATTCTCTTTGGCTCCGTTTTTGCCATCTGGAAAGACATTTTAATCGTGTTTTTTTTTTTAAGTCGTCTTTTCTTTTCTTTTCTTAAAGGGGCTGTATTTTTATTTTTGTTTTGGGGGAAACAGAGAGTGTTGGATGAACGCTTGGAAACCAAGTGGCTGAAAATTAAATTTTCATTTCTGTGAATGGCTCTCTGGAAGCATCTGTGGTTGTGCGGTAGGCAGTTCCTGCGTGCTTCTCCCACACGTCGCATGTCGATTTATTCCTGCCTGAAGCTGTCAACAGGCGTCTTCAGAGGGGAAACAGGATGTACCCCTCCCACACACACACGCAGCCCCCAGCCCCCTCCTCAATCGGCCTCCCTCCTTCTATCCCCTTTGTGCACCCAACACCTGCGCTGGCTGGGAAGAGGAGCCTCACAAATTAATCTCAGGTAGTCCTTGGTTTTTGTGACGGTCATGGTCACAATTTGGGTTTACGACCTTTTTCTGCAGCGGCTCTTAAGGAAGCGCTGTGATTGTAAAATGTACTCCACAGTCATTCAGCGAGCGAATGGTTTGCTATGTGCCGCTCGTGCTGAACACCACGTTTTAGCAAAACCATCAGAAGTCAGAACAAGAGAGTTGGAAGGGACCTCAAAGGTCGTCTAGTCCAACCCTCTGCCCCAGAGGTGGATATTCAGCAGGTTCTGACCAGTTCTGGAGAACCGGGAGCAGAAATTTTGAGTAGTTCAGAGAACCAGCAAATCCCACCTCTGACTGGAGATTTTGCAGTTTCCTTCCCCTGCCACGCCCACCAAGCCACGTCCACAGAATCAGTGGTAAAAACATTTGAATCCCACCCCTGGGAGACCCTATACCATTGCAGACTGGTGGCTGTCCAGTCTCTTCTTCAAAACCTCCAGTATTGGAGCATGTACAACTTCTAGTGGCAAGCAGTTCCACAGTTCCTCCCTTCGTCCCTCCCTTTTCCCCTCCTTTCCTTCTTTTCGTCCTTTCCTCCCTC